GGTATGATTTCTCAGTAAACATGCATCCATCGCTAGTCGGTTCAGATTTTTCTACTCTTGCTCAACTCTTTTTTGTCATTATTCATAACTTCGTTATCAACGCCCTTTGAGCGCGCACAAGGTCTCAAGCATGCGTTTTTAACGAAACGTTGTTGATTCGATACTCTCTTGCAGTTTTGATGTCTGAGGAGAAGAGCAGCTGGCGTTTCCTTTCCAAACAAAAGTTCCGTTGTAATAGCTGTTTGCCTTGATTATTCTCAACCTCAGGTGAAAGGGGTCAGCCAGATGCCGGCCCTAAAGTGAAGGGGGTCAGAGAAATTTCTCCACCTATCGCATCTATGCTTCGACCCATCTATACCCACCGTAACCCAAGAAAATGCAACATCCCGCGAAACCAGCATGACATTCATGTTCAGCGCGCTAAATGACCACCCTAGACGAAGTTCAAAGCAAGTCAATGTTTTCGACCCCATCCCATAACCACCATAACTCTATGAAAGGTTCCAATATGCAGAGAGAGTATGAAAATCGTAATCAGCATGTCGAATAAGTTCCCTGGACCAAACTCCAGCCGAATTCATGATTTTGACTTCCTACCGTACACTATCGTAACCACACGGGGAGCCGTTCTGTGGAGAAAGTGTGATATCTGTTTTCAGCATGTAAGATAACCATATACACGAAGTCTGAGCTCTACGACAGAAAAATTTCGGGGCCTAGATAGCCGAATAGCGCCTTAATAAACTAATAATGTACTCGTAATCAGCATGCATTACCCTCCTGTGCCAACTCCCAGCCCTGTAGCTCGAACTTTGCAAAAAAATCGATAAAATCGATAAATTAATGGGTAGTTCTAAAAAATAATATCGTATTCGTAACCAGCATACTCGATTACCCCCCTGTGCCAACTCCCAGCCCCGCAGGTCGAACTTTACAAAGAAATCGATAAAATCGATAAAAGTAATCGATAATTCTGAATTCCCTTATTGTATTCGTAATCAGCATGCTCGATTACCCCTCTGTGCAAACTCCCAACCTCGCAGGTCAAACTTTACAAAAAATCGATAGAATAGTAATATTGTATTCGGAATCCCCATGCTCACTTACCCCTCATGCAAACTCCCAGCCCTATAGGTGAGCTCTGCAAAAAAATCTATAAAAATCGATAAAATCGATATCGATCGATGACGAAAAGTAGCCTATGACACCCGCCGGGGCCCGAAGTGTATGTGTGCCAAGTTTGATCCGGATCGCTTCATAAATGGAATTTTCTATTCGGAACATACGTACAGACAGACAGACATACATACATACAAACAGACATTCAGCTTTATATATAAGATATACCGTTTTCGGCTGTGCTCTGTCGCGTGGTACCAACGGCTTTTTGAGTTTCTTCCAAAAAGTCCAAAAATTTTCAAAATTCAAGGTGTTCGTATAATTATGAACCGCACTTTATAAAGCTGAATGTCTGTTTGTCTGTATGTATGTATGTGTGTACAGTGACCGCAAAAAGTTGCGGATAAGTCGCCTTCCTTCTTTCATCCTCATTTTCAGATGGAAAGCAAGGATGAAAAAATGGTTGGATTGCATGAGGTGATAGAGCTCTTCAAGGGCTACAACATATATGTTGCGCTTTCTGGGAAACATGTATCCTAAAAATTACAAAAATCTTTTTCTAAAAAAGGTCCGAAAATGGCCGCGTCACAATGTCGCGGACAATAATTCTTCGACCGCGAGAATTTTCTTTTAGATCTTTTTTTGGAGCAAAAACAAAAGTTTTGCGGAAAGGTAAAGCATACTATATTGTGGAACTCATCGAGGACATAATCCAAGCTTGAATTTTATTTTGCTTCTTTTCAGAAAATAACTTCTAATTCCCTGCTTCAAGATAAATTTCTTCACATAGAAACCCATTCAAAACATTCAAACAAAGCTATTAGGATAAAATGGATGCCGTTTGCCATTTTCTATGTATCGGACTTATGCTGGTGAGTTTCTTTGCTGATGGTTCTTGACAGTGCGTTCACATGACCCTACCTGCCCCTCGCCACTGACTTGCGCCGCTTTACAGGCTTGTAGCTCAGTCGGCAATCACTCTAGGAGCTTGTGGGTAGGCTCATTCGAAAGGCACGACTTCCCCGGCACGAAGGTATCCAAAAAGGTTGAGTTTGAGAGAGAGATTTTACGGATGGGGTGAAAACGCAGCTTAAGGGATAGGCTAAGAATTTGTCAGCTAAAGTCGAGCAAAGCTCCTTTCGAACCAGTTCCATCCTAGAAGTTCAAAACTGTAAACTTTCTTGTAACAGATCTATTTCGAAGCTCTAAGGCTGTTCCGGTGTTGATAAGAGCACTTTCACTCCAACCACCTCTTCTTCACCCCATCCGTAAAATCTCCGGGATTTCCCAGATTCAACTGCTTTGCATGCCATCGTGTCGAGGAATTCACGCTCTTTCGAAAATGAGCCTACCCACAAGCTCCTAGAGTGACTGCCGGCTGAGTTACGAGCCCGCAAAGCGTGCAAGTTAGTGGTGAGTTGCACTCAGATAATCGCCGGGGGCAGGCGGTCCGCAAACTTGCGCTTTTCTGCAGGCGGTCAGCAGGATTTTGGGGCGTGGCTAGACCTTCAGCGGGCGGCACTTTCTTTAGGGTCGCATATTCTGCCAGCGAGCAGCAATACAGCATTTTTTGCAAGCGCTCGGCAAATAATTTCTTGCAGCGAGCGCTGGCCAAACTTTCAGCAAGCGCTCGGACTCTTTTTAGGCATTTTCGGGCGTACGTCGAGCGCAAGGAAGACTATGTGTGGCAGAGGTGTCACCGTTGGTTTAATTACTCAAGTTTGAGGTACTTTGTTTAAGCGGAAAGTACCTGGGGGTTGCGCGGTCCTCCACCAAGGACCGTGCGGCCCCCGAAATTTTTGCATATTCTCGCGGAAAGTCCGCGAGAATGCGGCCACTGCGCCGCAGCTAATCCATAAAGAAACCGCGATTGTTCTTCAAGCATTCGTCTTTAATTTCGCCAATTTTCTTCCAAATTTCTGCAAGCGGGCGGCAAAAAATCGACGAACTATTTTTCCGGTGCGCGCTTGCTCAAAATTCGCATGGCAGCCTGCCCCCGGCGATTATCTGAGCAGGTGGGGTCATGTGCACGCACTGTCAAGAACCATTTTCAGCGAAGAAACCCACCAGCACACGTCCGATGCATAGAGGATGGCAAATTGCATTCATCTTATACAAATAGCTTTGTTAGAATGTTTTGCATAGATTTTCATGTGAAGAAATTTGGCTTGAAGAAGGGGATTGGAAGTTATTTTTCAAAAAAAGCAAAATAAAACTCAAGCTTGGGTTTTCTTGGGGGTAACCGACTACCTGGTTATTGTCATCGATGAGCTCTACAACACAGTATGCTTACCTGTCAGGGTAACTTCTGTTTTCGCCCTAAGAAAAGATCTAAAAAAAAATTCTCGCGTTCGCAGAATTATTGTCCGTCACACTGTGACGTGGCCATTTTCGGACTTTTTTTTAGAAAAAGATTTTTAAAATTCTTATAATACATGTTTCCTAGAAAGCGCAATGTGTGGGGTGTAGCTCTTGATGATCCCTATCAACACATGCAATCCAATCATTTTTTCATCTTTGTTTTCGATCTGAAAATGAGCGATGAAAAAAGGAGGGTGATTTGTCCGCAACTTTTTGACGGTCGCTATATATAGTAGACGTGAACTCAAGCTGGCGTTTATCAAAAAACTCGCAGCAGTTACATTTTATTTTAGCGAAAACATAGCCTCGCAGTGCCATAGTATATCCTCAGTACATTTGCGGCCATCGAATTCATAGGAAGGTAGACGCTTTAAAAACATGGGTGATCTCTGGGGATCCCCCAATGGATCACCTAAAACATCGAAAATTCCAGGTTTATACAGCGTTGTTCTGACGCCTATTATGCTGAGTCATCAGAATGTGAGGTCCTTCTCTAAGGCAGTGTCCGGGCAAAAGGTCGATTGTGAGATTTTCTGCTTACCCGGCTCTATTCGCAAGCTGAATCCAAAAATCCACACTGGAGAGCGCAAATACGGCGAAAAACGGCCCTAGCACAAAAGGAAAATCAGCAGGTGGGCGGGGTCTCCCCACTGTGAGTTCACGCTCCCAGCTTCCAGAGTGATATTCTCGCTTCCGAATTCAGGTCAATCGTTCGCACCTGGCCGGTGACGATGTCAGGACGGCTAACAGAATCGAGAAGACCGCTGCGGAAGCTGGGAGCATGATTTCACAGTGAGGAAGGCCCCGCCCACCTCTAAAATCCCTCCTGTGCTAGAGCCGTTTTTCGCCGCTTTCCAGTGTGATTTTTCGGACTCGCCTGAAGAATAGACCCGGGTAAGCACAAAATCTCATAATCGAGTTTGTGCTCCTTCAAAGGCAGCGTCCACATAGAATTTGCCCCCCCCCATGTTTTCGTCATTCTGGGGCCTTCCTGTGGCCCTGATTACAGTTCCGAACTTCAAACTCTCCAAAATTCACAAAAAAACCGATTCCTGGGGACCCTGTCTTGAGGGCGCTGACGAGTTTCGAATGGCTCGTCTCCGTCGGCAGGCCAGCGGGGAGGAGCTGCAACTGCTTGAGTGCAGTTGCGTTGCAGTGTGCAGTGTGCAGCTTCTGCTCATTACCATGTCAATACGTGTCGGGAGGCAGTCGCTGGTGGTCCGATATCAGACTCCGCCCAGCCAGGGACTTTCAGGCCCCTTATCTCCATTCAGTGACAACGTTAGAAGACCACCAACGCAAATGCTTCTTTTCTGGGGCCTACATTTAGGATCGACACTAATCGGAGGGGGTTAGGTTTAGTCTGGACACTGCCTTTAAGGTAGATAGTCGAAAAAGAGTTCAGATATTGAGAGAGGAGAGATATGGCGCGTCCCTTCTCGGCACCTTTCCCTCCTACATGGGATGTACGTGCATAGGAAGTCGAGTCCGTCATTCAACAACTGATCGGCTCATTGTAGTGTATGGCTGTGCTATGGCGGAAAGCCCAACACCACTGCAGAGATTTTTTTCGAACTGGACTGGGATGCTATTTGTGGAGATTCTACGCGATTTCATCCATTAGAGCAGACCGTTTACGTGGTGCAGAATGGGGAAGTTAAGGGTAAGTTATGTTTATCTATGTTGTGAACTGAGCATTTATATTGTTGCTAATTACAGCACACCCTTACTACTCTTCACTGGTTGAGCTGCAATACGACTCTATCAATAAGAAAGTCTACATATTCAAAGTCTGTTCATTTTTGATAACTTTTTTAAGCAATGATGCAAAGTTGCACTGGAGTCAATGTGTTATGCTTATCTTTCACTCTAGAATGCTAAATGTGGGAGGGTTACCATGGTGACTTTCGTTTTCAATCGATAGCGATATCCACTCAATTCTTAGCAAACGTTCTGAAGCTAATTGGTGGAGGGGCTAGTGAGTATGCTGATCACGATTATAGCAGTCGTATGTCAAACCACTTATTGCTTTTATTCTCATCAGTGTCTTTGCAAATCTGAGTTAGACGCTGCAATTTGCTGGAAGGGGATTGAAAGCATGCTGTTCGCGAATTATTTGCCTTTATCAATTTGATCGTTTTCTTGCGAATTTTGAAGTGGCGCACTGGGAATCGTTACAGAGGAAAAGGTAATAAAGGACGCAGATTGAGTAACCCAATTTGGAAAAAGGAACCACTGCACTTACAATTTCAATTTTCCGCAAACTTCGTGCTGGGCCTCTGGAGTAGTCAAAGGGGACGGGGAACAAACGAGCATGCTGATCATAAGGACACCGAGAGAGGGCGATTGCCAAAAGGAAAAGTACTGCTCAGAACTTCAACTCCACAAATTACAAGCTCGTACCATTTGTCTGCGCAACATATAATTTCCTCAAAAAACTATGAGAGCTGCTTAGCGGCATGTGACAGAAGTGGGACAATCAAGGAATCTGTTACGCAGAAGATGGGTTGCAATGATAATTCTATCATGGTATGTTGACGGGTACCGAGCGAAACCGGGTATGTCAGCTGGTATACTGATAAACCTGTTTGGGCAGCAGCTAAAGTAACTATCGGACTTACAAAGTATATAAGCCTCTTTATTGTTGTGCAACCAGTGTAGTAAAGCTGAGATTTTTGGCGAGTGTGTCTGCAGGGCCTGCATGAAGCGAAGAGAAGTTAGTTGTATGAGAGGAAGAACCCTTGCTGCATGGTATAAATTTCGCCAGCTGATTCTTGGCGAGGAATAGATGGATTCTACTGCCGGATGGAGGTGAACCGGAGAGTTGAGTGGACGCGAACACGCGCGCAGATAAGTATAAATAGTACGGCTTTTTGCTGGCTTGATCCTGCTTCTCCTGCTTTCTATGGGTGGTGTGTCGCGTTCGCGCTTGTGGGCTGTGCACGTATGCTCTGCAGTGGATCGCGTAAATTGTATGTGCTATATCGTAAAATCTCATAGACATCTTAAATAGTCGTTTCGTTTCTTTTCAAAATTCCATAAAATCTCAAAAGTGAAAAGCGCAAACGAAATATTCTTGGTACACTCTCTCTGTCCGCATCCAATTTCTTGCGAAAGTCATGAATTCAAAAATTAGAAGAAACTGGTCAGAGTATAGGGGGGTTGTAAAATCCAGCGATTTTGCTGGAAGAATCTATCATAACTGCCCGGAAAATGAGGGAATCCTGCTTTTTATTAGCACTGATGCTTTCTGAAATACTTGGAAAATTTGGAAAGATGAAAAAGGAGAACGAGGAGCTTTTGTGGGGTAAAAAAGGAGGTTCAAGTACTGATTCGAAATTGCACTCATATTTATTGCAACTATGGTTGTAAAGGTGAAAAAATGCCGAAAGTTACAATGTCCTTTGTCCCTTGCTCATATATGCCAAGTAGATATCGTTGAATACCTAAAGGGTTTTTTTGAGAATAGAAGAAAGAACAAAACTTATGTTATGACCTAACACTTAGTTAGAGACGCAAAAGCAGCGCGCTGTGACTATTAAGTCGTTCCAAAAGAATTGCGCTTCTTTCAAAAAGGCGCCACATCGAAAGGAACGAAGAATTCTTAAGGTCTTGGCAGCTTTCATGCTCATTCTAATCTTTATAAATTCATTGCAGCACAATCAATGAGCTTTCGAGAAATCACGATCCATACTTTTTTTGCCATGGTCAACTATCGCTAGTCTTCTGGATCGTTGTACCGATTACTTTGAAGTCCAAACAACGTCATAAAATATGGGTTACGGGAAAATATATTGCAACAGATTTTGATTGCTATCAATCTCCATACTTGATCAACCCAAACGTGGAAGAACATTAAACGGCGAGTAGCTGCGGTGCCACTCGATACAGCTTTTACTACTCTTTCTAATGGGTTTTTTGTCTTCGATCTGCGGATCTTCGGGGATGAAATCATCAACCTCGACAAAAAAGCGCAATTACTTTCGGAGCGACCTAATATTTGCCCTACTATGTCCCTACCAAAGCATTGATTTACTACTAAAGTTGCAATTTGTCCCGAAGAGTTGCAATGGTATCGAAAAATGCGACATACGGCTGAGATGGAGATTTTGACCCTTTCAACATCCTCGCTGAGGATAGGAGGGTAGCTGAGAAAGGGCGTATTATATTTGCTACCCTAGATATCTGCATTCTTCTTTGTCTATTTGACACTGCTCCGATCATGCAAAGATGTGACATTTTTTCCCTTATTCCAGTCTCAAGAAGGGTTCCAAATTGAAGATGTCGCGACCACCAGTAGGCCCGAGATTGTGTTGGACCTGTCAGGAAAATTTGTTTTCTTGCTCACTTCAAGGTATCTGTTGCTTTACATATAAAGAAACCAATTTCATTTACTTCAGCCCTTACTGTTTTTCCGGTCTTCATCAGCCGTTTGGAGGAATAGTGAAAGGATACACACTCAACCTCACGTTAGTGTAATTTGCATCTTTTACGTATGATGCGCTCACAGATTCGTGGGAACGGTCAAGCGGCAGGATTGGCGCGAGATTTTCCGAATGCATGACGCAATACGCATTATTGATGTACTGCTATCTATCATCTATTCCATGACTAGGAGACGCGAAACCGCATTGCGGACATTGTCTTAACAAGTTTGAATTTGTTCTTTCCTGTTTCTAAGAGCAAATAAACCTGGACGAGACAAAATAACACGTTAGTGCAATACGGTCTCGCGTCTCCTGGTCATAGAACGATGAATACTTTCTACTTATCACAGAAAGTCATACATTTGTCCCACATCCAGACTCGCCCCTGCTTTTAATGCCAAAATCCCAGCAGCGGATATTTTTGAGGCAAAAAAGCACGTGTGCCTCCAGACCTGAAACCACACATTCGTGTCAGGGCTGCTATGGCTTTTATCTCTCCGAATCAGAGCTCAGTACGAGGTGGATTTAGAAAATATGTCTACGAAAGGATGGTAGAAACGCTTGCAGATGGATAGACAGCGAGAAATTCAGCAGTGGCTGTATTCATCAACGAACCTAGTCGGTTCCGGAACCCATTGGGTAGGCTTAACCCACGAGATCGGTATTCACGAAGCTAGTGGGTTCCGGATTTCAGTGCGTTCTAGAACCCATGGAAAGCCACTTAACCGGTATTCACTAACGAAACCAGTTTGCGAACCCAAAAGGCGAGTATACCGGTATTCACGAAAGTTAACCAGATTCGTGGGTTCTGGAACCCACTGATCGCTGGATCAGCGAACCCAAACATGATGCTATCTCAATGGGTTACATGCGAACCCAGTCACTTTGCAGAATGTTATGGATTTGTAAGCAGCGATAGTTACTATTAGTAAACTATGTACTAAAAACCCTTTTCTACTTATTTGAGCTTCTAGAATTTTTTTAAAAATAACATAAAAATATCTGACATGCATACAAAAGATTTTTCCACTGAGGGATTGCTAATTTTGGTTGCCAAAATGACTTGAAAATTTCGCAAAAAACCGCAAACAAATTTTTCGGCCGAAAATTCATGGCTTTAGTTTGCAAAGAGGTTTAACAACCTACGATATTAGCTAATGTTTATTGTCATCTCGGAATTTACATACGAATTTGTGCGAAACATGGAGATTAAGATTACGTTTTCCGTTCGTCGATATTCTCTTTGCACATTCTGAGCTATGAAAAAATTCGTAGGGGTAAGCAGCGCGCTCATTATGCGATCATAAGCGTTGGCGAGAGAGCGATTGTTGCAATGCCAGCAAATTCGTAGTTCCCAAATGATAAATGAGTAGAAAAGTAAAAAATCCAAGTTTGCAAGAGATTCAATGAATGTAAATCCGTGCAAGTTTGTGTTTTGCGGGTTTTTCGTTTCTTCTCATAACTTTTTGACATCTAACGAGGAAGGTACTTTTAATGGCCGTGGCCTTTTGATATGAGATGCATACCATCTGAAGCAGCTTCGAACGCTGATTCTAAATCTGCTTTCCTTTTCTGCGGAGCGCCCTTCTGAAGAGAGTTAGAAGTCTGAAAATCCTATTTTGGGGCGCTCCTTGAGTTTGAGGACGCTACTACGTGCGTTGGTGGTGCAGTGGTGTAACGGTTAGTTGTGGCTTGAAGGAGAAAGGCTGATGGTTCGAATTCAGTGCAGAGCGTACCATTTTGTACTATGAATTTGAGTTTAAAAACCAGTGTAATTCGCCCGCAGACACTTACTGTAATGCCCTTGGCAAATATGACTTAAATAAAAAAATCTGGCAGAACCGCTTGCTTGTTGAGATTTGCTTTTCTCCGCAGAAAAATTCATGCACAGAGGTGAAGCGAAATTACAAAGTGAGCAAAACAGACATTTTTCACAACGGGAACAGCGTATGAAGAAAACCTCCGCGCGATTCTCATGCTCGCAAGTACCCATTAAGTTACTGGGGGAGCAATATTGGAGTGGCGTTTTAAATGAATTCAAAGCCTTTTAAATGAATTCATTCAAACCGGATTCGAACTATCGACTTTTGCCTTTATTGCCAACAACTGACCATTACACCACTGCACCACCAACGCACGTAGCAGCGACCTCAAACTCAAGGAGCGCCTCAAAACAGGATATTTTGGAAGACAAGGAAAATCACTTGTACGAAAAAGGGTGGCGTCCTCTTTTTGCATCTTTTTCCACAAAAATTATAGTCGGCAGTCATGTTCGGGGTCACAGCCAAGTGTGACTACCATATGCGAGCGAATACTTGCAAAAATAATAGAATAAAGGAAAAGCAAGTATCGTTGCACAAAAGACATTGATTGATGTTCATTATTCTGAACATATGAGTTTCCGAAAGCGTGTCAAGCGTGCTGGCGTTTTTAGGTTAGCGTTATCTGTGTGTGTCGAGAGATGAGAAAATAGTACACAGATTAGAGAGGCACATTGCTGACGTAATGCGTTTGCGAACCCAGCGGAGCAATTGTAAATACCGATCTCATTCAGAGGGTGCGCGAACCCGGTGGGTTCCGGAACCCACTGTATTCGTTGATGAATATGGCCACAGATTTATGAGCTCCTGAATATAAAGTTTTTTCTAAGCTGTGTTCCCCTCTCCAATGGGGACGTTAATATATGCGGATAGGATAAATGCCCTAAATGACCCTTCTTTACGGCGGGCGGTAATCGGTAGGTCATCACTATGCATCTAATGATTTGCATTCCATTCCAGTTCGCCCTGCCGCTTAGGGTCGTTCCTTTGTAAGCTTTATACGATGATAAATGATGTTATACAGCTTGTTATTAGCATCCCACACATTCATAAATGTATGAGTTGACAAGTATCATAACATATTGCACATGTCTAATGAATCGAAGATCTCTGCTGCTGTGGGGGTGATTTGCAGGCCCATATTTATGGATTAGGGCCTTCTTAAGCCATGCGCTCGTAATACTAAATGTTTGCGCTGTTGCGGTCGGAAAGCACTACCAGAGAGAGCTAGAAGCATCGTCCACCTAGATTTTCATTCTATTTTTTCGTCGTTCCTAGGCCTTCTCATGTTCCTTGTTCCGAATATGAAGTCAAAAATGCGCGAAAACCCTGACAATCGGACAGTTTCGGAAAACCCGCAGGAGGGTCTGGGCCGGCATTACTGATGGGCATTCCTATCGTAAGCTGCCAAAAGCTCAAGACCTTTAACTTAGGATAGACGGTGCCTTTTGAAAAAAAAGAATGAGAAGAAAATAGTCAGATCTGAACAGGACAGCCTACAACATACTGTAGACGTGACTTAAAACCTGTGCGGAAGCGTATCAATTTTGACCCACAGATTGGGACAGATTGTATTTGTCAAAACTACTCCTTGAATAGTGAAATGTCAATAAAGAGCTTTTTATTGACAATCCACTATCCAAGTAAAAACGAAGCTCAGGGATAGAAGTATACTGAACTACTCCTTGATTTGAATTTGTATCCGTTTTTGAGGAAGTATTAGGTTGGCTCGAAAGTTCTGGGACATTTTCGAACTAGATATGCTATTTCTCGAAATCAACGCATATACATAAGATAGAGTAACCATTCGATAGAGCGAAGCAAGCTCTACAAGATGGTATGCAAAAGTTCGCACCAATTTTGACCCACCGTAAGTTTGCACCCAAAATCTGAGTCGTACTGAAATCAAGAAATCGCGAAAAATCCATGTCTTCGTTCACACAAATCCTGCGGATCTCCAACTTGCTCACAAAAATTGCACATCACATCAGACACTCATATGCACCGTTCCTGTATTTTTTCCTCATTTAGAAATCGAAAAAACGAAAATTTTCATGTTTATGTAAAACCGAAGCTGTGCTGTTTCCGCTCATGTAATTGAATAGTACATGTCCTTGGAAGTATAACCGTAAATTTTCAGCTTTCCGTAAGCCCTAGTTGTCGAAAAATATTTATTTTAGCATGGAACGTCCGAGTGAGGGGAGCTCAATTTGGTAATTTTCGGGCCAGGGCCTGTAGAAAGCTGAAAATTTGCGGTTATATTTATAGGGGCTTGCACTATTCAATTACGTGGGTGGAAACAGCACAACTTCATTTCATATAAGCACGAAAATTTTCGTTTTCTCGATTTCCAGATGAGGAAAAAATATAGGAACGATGCATATGAGTGTCTGATGTGATGTGCAATTTTTGTGAGCAAGTTGGAGATCCGCAGGATTTGTTTGAACAAAGATATGGATTTTTCGCGATTTCTTGAATTTCAGTACGACTCAGATTTTGGGTGCAAACTTACGGTGGGCCAAAGCTGGTGCGAACTTTTGCATACCATCTTGTAGAGCTTGCTTCGCTCTATGGAATGGTTACTCTATCTTATGTATATGCATTAGATTTCGAGAAACAGCAGATCTAGTTCGAAAATGTCCCAGAACTTTCGAGCCAACCTAGTAGATAAAACCCGCAAAGACGTCTGTTTCATCAAATTTCAGAGCAGATGACTGGAAAGAATATTACGACTTCCATTACTTCCGGGCTGGTGGCGACAAGAATCAAAAGAAGATAAGCCGGAAAGGTGAAAACCGCACAGAGTCGTTCGATTCAGTCAAACGCAGAAAAGGTCTCAGAAAAGCCGAAGTTGATTGCTGCCCTCCTACATGGGAATTCGAAGGATTTCTTTCTGCAAACGAATGGTACGTTCTCATTTGGACAATAAGGAACAAATTTTACGTGTCATGATGTTAGGTCCATTGCCGGACGAAGGTACAAAAGCGTCTTTAGTTGAGTCGGAAGCGGTGTGCGAGCGGCTACATCACTTAACCCTGGCATTATGCTTCCTACGGGGAAGAGAACCTCGTTCAAAGATACTGGGTACTCGTCTTGGTCCGGCTAGATCTTAAAATAAGATATCTTTGTTTCACATAAAGCAAAACAAGGAATAAGAAAATGCAACGATAAAAAAAAGTAGTAAGGCATAGAGTTCCTTGACTTGTTTCTCGTGATGAAGTAGAAGCTACTCCGAAGGAAAAGAGATTATTTCAAAGCAAAGTGACCATTAAAGGCAGCGTACACCCAAAATTTCACCTTTGATGTTTTTGTCATTCTGGGGCCTTTCCGCGCAGCTGATTACAGTTGTGTCATTAAAATCCTCCAAAAGTCCCAAAAAACCCCGATTTCCGGAGACCCTCTCTTCAGGGGCAGACGAGTTTCGAACTGCTCGTCCCCGCCGGCATGCCAGCAGCTGACAGCATGACAGAGAGCCTGCAGTTGCAACTGCAACTGCTGCATGCGCTGTTCGTCGCCCGAAGGGGGCGCACCGCAAAAAGCAACTGCACTGTTGCAACTGCAGTTGCAGATGCAACAGCATCGCAACAGCAACTGCAACGGCAACTGAAGCTTACGCTGTCGCGGATTCGTCCGGAGGAGGCGGAGTGAAAGAAAAGGGGCGGAGTGAAAGAAAATTGAGGGGGGTTTTCTCCGCTCAGAAGCAACATTGGGAGACCGAACCAACGCAGTTGGTCTTCTTCTGAACCCAGTATATACACGGTATAGAAAGATCTAGGAAATTCAACTTAGATTTTGGGTGTACGCTGCCTTTAAGCGATTGCCCAAATGCGGAGCCAAGCCATGCTACCGAGAGCAAAAATGTACAAACCCATTTCGTTTGCTGTGCCTGCGACGGTCGCAATTTCTGCGGCTCTTTCTAACTCAAATGTCCACTTCTGTTCTGAGCAATTCTTCAAGATACCGAGCAATGTGCTTTGCGCTATCAGCTGCACGAAGTTACCATTTGTTCAGCTCCAAACTTAAGAAAAAATTGACTGATGGTGTACGATCTCTTGCTAGCATCTTCAAGAGATTTTCATCTCAAAATTCATTTCTTTTACGGTAATGAAAATGAAAACCCATGTAACTTTCTACGATATTTCCTTAGATTTCCTGAATGCTTTTAGAACGATATAAAACACAACACGTTTGATGTCCATCTTAATTGATATCGCCCCTTGGCGTACATCTCGTCCAAGTCACCGATAGCTTTCTGTGACTTCGCCCGCATTCCCACACTCTTCACACAGTGCTTGTTGCGGTCTCGTGCACAAAGTATCCATGACTTCCCCGCAGAGCCAGCATGTGGAAAATAATTGAAAAGCATGCTGATTACGAAAAAACAATTTGGGCAGTGAACTGACATGCAGTGAGAACTGGAACAGATTAATATTGTGTAGGAGAGGGGTGAAGCGAGTGCTATCACCGTGTGAAAAGGGACCGAGCAGAGGCGCATCAGTTAGCTTCAAACGCGTGAACCATCAATATGCCACCATTGCGTTTTGGCACAGTTATAGAGAGGCTTACGTTACTGACAAGGTTGTAGATTCGTGGACTCTGTTCAAGGGGCAATCGCTTTGCAATACTGCTTCTAAATTTTCTTTCTATTTTTTATGAGAGTTTCCTCGATGAAGCTTCTAGCTGATGTAACAAAGCATTTGACATCTTCCAAGGTATTAGGTTAAATGCAAAAGCAGCACAGTAATTAAAAATGATAAATAAATGAATAAAATAGTTATTTGTAAAGCACGCATATTCTACAAAATGGCGTTGAATGACCCACGTGAGTCTAAGGCTGAAACTTAGGTTTTCGAATACCCACAAATTGCTTTTTCCTTCGAAAGAACACCGTAACCTCCAAGACGATCAAGAAGTACACTCTCCACGTCATAAATTCATTTATACCCTTTGATTCAACGAGATTGGTGGCTGGAAGAAGACCGCTCGCACCCGCGACGCAGTCTGCGTCTCTCTCGCGGACGTGCTCTATGATCATTTCCTAGCCTTACATCTTATATATAAAGCTGAATGTCTGTATGTCTGTATGTATGTCTGTATGTATGTCTGTATGTATGTACGTATGTTCCGAATAGAAAATTCCATTTCTGAACCGATCCGGACCAAACTTGGCACACATACGCTACGGGCCCCGGCGGGTGTCATAGGCTACTTTCCGTCATCGATCGATATCGATTTTATCGATTTTATCGATTTTTTGCAAAGTTTGAGCTACGGGGCTGGGAGTTGGCACAGGGGGTAATCGAGCATGGGGATTCCGAATACAATATTGGTTTTCAGGATTATCGATTACTTTTATCGATTTTATCGATTTTTTTTGCAAAGTTTGAGCTACGGGGCTGGGAGTTCGCACAGGGGGGTAATCGAGCATGGGGATTCCGAATACAATATTGGTTTTCGGGATTATCGATTACTTTTATCGATTTTATCGATTTTTTGGAAAGTTTGAGCTAGGGGGCTGGGAGTTGGCAAAGGGGGGTAATCGAGCACGCTGATCATCCCCAAGGGGGGTGATCAGCATGCTCGATTACACCCCTTTGCCAAATTCCAGCCCCCTAGCTCAAATTTTCAAAAAATCGATAAAATCGATAAAAGTAATGGACGATCTTGAAAACTAATATTGTATTCGTAATCTGCATGCTCGAATACCCCCCCCCCCTGTGCAAACTCCCGGCCCCGCAGGTCAAACTTTACAAAAAAAGTCGATAAAATCGATAAAAGTAATGGACGATCCTGAAAACTAATATTGTGTTCGTAATCAGCATGCTCGATTACCCCCTGTGCAAAATCCCAGCCTCGCATGTCAAAATTTACCAAAAATCGATAAAATCAATAAAAGTAATCGATAATTCTGAAAACTAATATTGTATTCGGAATCCCCATGCTCACTTCCCCCCCCCCCCCTGTGCTAACTCCTAGCCCTGTAGGTGAACTCTGCAAAAAAAATCGATAAAAATCGGTAAAATCGACATCGATCGATAACGAAAAGTGGACTGTGACACCCGCCGGGGCCCGAAGTGTATGTGTGCCAAGTTTGGTCCGGATACGGCGGAGCCGGGTAAGCCAGCTAGTAGCCACAAAACCCCGCCTTCCAGCCGCCAATCCACTGAATCAAAGGGTACAGTTACCGTATGTTTCCATGGATAGAAATCAAAAAATAAACAACTGGCATGCTGTACCCTATAGAACACTCAGGTTATAGCATCAATAATTCGATGCTAAAATCTTTCACCCTATCCAGGGAAAAAAATCCAACGTATGTGTTAATGTGAGGGGAGAGTGCATCTGCATGAGCAGATTGGGGGAGGTACTAATTTAGCTACAGTAGAAATTGGAAATCTTGGCTGTACGTCGGGCGGGCGGAGTGGACATGGTTATCGTGCGATGCTACTGTCGCAACGGGGACCTCAAAGGGGCACCCACAGAAGGGGAGGGGGGTCGTAAGACGGGGACTTTGCCCAAAGAAAACACTTTCAAAAGTTTAAAACACTTTCGGAGGCATGTATATGTGACAAAAATGCTGAATGTGCCGATTGGCATAGAATCCCGATTCCTCACTAAAGCCTCACCCACTCGACAAAAGTGCAATTTACCGACGATGACATCAATAATTTGTAAATTCTTTTGTAATGTTTTTCATATAGCATATACAATTTAAATGTACCCTAGAGCTATCCTACTATTAGGTCGTTCCATAAGTTCTAGCGTTTTCAATTTTGTTGTAACGCTTGCTCCGATACAAACTCGCCATTGTTAAAATCGTGCTCTCGCAACATTTTAACCGCGCCGCGCTTGGTCCGTAGCGTTTGAGCAGTCCGTACGGCCAACGAATCGACGATAGCATTCGAGAGAGCCAATTTTGCTCTACAAGAACTGCTCTTTGTTTTCGAAGTACTAACCTACTAACCTTTGTTTTATAACATCTCAAAGCAAAGCTTTTTGAGATGCAAAATTAGCTATTCGACACTTGCATCTCGGTTCTATGTAAGAAATCACCAGTGGGAATTTTCCATCCACAATCGTTATGGAATGGTGCATATAAAAGAGGACTTGTTGTCGAGAGAAACGCTACAGGGTAGGATAAAGCGCACTTTCACCGTATGTGTAGATGTTTGGTGATAATGAGACAATTTTCTACATCAAAATTAAACATTTGCACCACTTAGACAAAGCCGTTTATGGTCAAGGCCCAAAAACAAGACCGGAATATTCTGTTGCGAAACAACGCATAAAAGTCAAACGTTAACAGTCAGAAACAGCAACTATTGAGACTTCGTTTGAACATTTCTTGACATATTGGCGTAACACACAGTGTCAGCATATCAGCCTTGCCTGCTGCTAGCTACTCCGACTATCCTTGCAAAGAAATTTAAGGGGTAGGGACCAAATTCGGGAAGCATAGACGTCGAAATGGCAAATTTTCCCCACTCTCAAACTTCGCTTTGAGAAGTTATCAAGCAAAGGTCATCAGGTTTGCTTCGGAAGTAAGGAGCGGATCTTGCAGGGGCTCTTTCGCATGGCACAGGTGCTTTGCTGTAAACCAACCGCTCCATCAAAAAACGACGACAACAATAAAAACGCTACGAACTTATGGAACGACCTAATATATTGCGCAAAATTTGGTCCAATTGTACGGCCTGCGGATTTGTTACAATTCTATATACGGCAGCAAGAAATAAAAAAATAGGGTAGCATCTGGGTCGCATCTGAATCTTTTCGGAGCTACATGAGCTTATTCGCTGTAGATTTGCTGTATCAAGGCGCAGTTTCCTACTCTCTTCTTAGGAAATCCAAGCTGTTTTATTGTGTCTCTAGTGAGTTATAAAATTTCAAGTTCAAAAATCCCAGT